TACCCTTCCGTCCCATATCTTACCGGGTATAGTTGTTACTGTACAATTAGTTTCAATCATGTTTTATGTACTTAAATTTTACATTTAAAAAATTACATGTAATTGTGTAAAATGTCACGTCGTGCAGTTTTCATTCAAGGCCAGGCAATGGAAACCGGATTATTACCTTACATCAGGACCCAACGCCACTCAACAGATCGAGTATATGTAGATCCCATGTCAAACCAAGGGGGAGTGATCATCAAAAAAATGTACGTCTTTGTGTGATATGATTGATTCAGCTGATGACTACCAGTTTTAAGGTGACATAACGCTGTGACAACAAAATCCATTCCGGTCAAGGATTGAGTTAACGTTGGCAATTGTTAAAAACTTGGAAACTTCATGGCATTCTTTTTCATGTTTTTCATGCAAAGGCGTTTACAAATATTTTCAATACAATTTCTTCAAGAGATTAGAAATTTGCTACTTTAATCGATCTGAAAATAAACTACTTTTGGCTTCACTTTCCGAGACACTCAATGATTGATAGCGCTCTAAAAAAATAACTGGACTTTAATCTGTTCATTCACGTCTTGAATCAAGACTAGGTTCGGTCGTGGGTCGCGTACGGCCCCGGCAGACCAAATTTATCTTTCTTGTGATGCGCATGCGTTGGTCCCTGTTTCCCGCGAACGGGATTGGGCCTGAAATGAGCTGAAATTGTCCGAGAAATAAGGAATTTTTGCAGGAACGGTACGATATAAATCAGCTACATTTATTTCATTTATGTTAGTACCAAAAACAAAACCATGGGGTACCTGAAGCTGCTTCTTTTGGAGAATTTCAAGTCCTACAGCGGCAAACAAACGATCGGACCTTTCAAGCCGTTCACTGCCATCATTGGACCCAATGGAGCAGGTAAAACATGGAATTGTCATTAACCAGTTGTGCTATGAATGCTTTGTTTAGAGATTCCTTTGGTTGAAAGAGTGTTGTGCGACAAAAATGTACTAAGTTGTGGGGTATTCTAAATGGCAGGTTGGAAGGAATGTTGCATCCTTCCTCCACTCTTTTATGATATAGGCCTAAAATCAAGTTAAATCCCAAAACTAGGCCAGTCATTGGTTGCAGAGAAAGACAGGCTTAGCCAGCCTAGTCCTATAATAATGCATCTACATTTGTAACATGGGCCATAAGCTAGCGAGTTTGACAAAATTCCCAGATAAGGCAGTCATGTCTGCTACATGTAGTGTGTAAAACCCAATGGCAAAATGTGTAAAAACCAGAAAACTTGATGACAAAAATCCACAGTAGTAGACCTAATCTCGGAAAGAATTCCA